AGCCAGTATCACTCTCAACAGGTTACAAAGGGGGGCGGGGCGGGGTGGGCTGAAGCCACAGGACACCTGGCCAGGTGACAGGGCAGGTGCTGTTTTTGGGCGTGGCTTCCCAGCTGATGCACGCAGCTGCCAAACCTCCAAGCACACGCCTCTCAACGCAGTGACAGACGCATTCCTCACGTGTAACAATAAGCGCACGGGATAAGCAGTTTCCTGCACTAGAACTGCCACCTGTGCAGGAAACTGCGCACCCACAGGCAGCCGCTGCCCCGGCGGGTCAGCGAAAGCCAGAAAAGCACAACCGATCCTCCAGGTCCTTGAGGGAAACCGCTGCTCCCAGCAGAGAACCTGTGAAAGCGCAGCTAAACCGTCCTGCGCGGCCGCGCATCCCTGTCCCAAGCGGGGCGCACCTCGCTTCACGCTCTCCGCACCGGTTTCAGCCGGAGTTCAGGCAGTTTCGGTCTCAAGGGAAGTTCGAACACAGCCGGGGGCCCAGCAGAGGGCTGGGAGGCAGAGGCGGAGCAGCGGCGCGCAGCCAGCCGGACTGGTTTGAAAAGACACGCCAGACAACGCCAGGCGTTGCCAGCCTCCCGCCGGGGATGGAAGGAAGGCGGCTTCCGGATGCAGGGGCTGCTTCGGCGGCGGCACTCACCTCTTGCATCTCTTCCGGAGGATGTGTCGCCGCTCAGGTGGCTGGCCGCCTGCCCGGCTCGCCCGCTCCCTCGCCCGCTCTCGCACACACACATCTGGCCAGGAGTCCGTCCGCGGCCGCAGGCTCCCTCGCTGGCTGGCCGGGCTGCCTCGCTCCCCATTGGCCAGCCGGTCACATGACCATGACTTCACCCGTGCTGGCATGCGAGCAGGAAGGTGACCATTCAACTCGATGCCCACAGCTAGGCAACCGGCAGGCGGGCATGTGGGTGGCGCCAGGGTTTCAGCGACACGCTCCGGCTGGCTTCCCTGGAAAGGCATGCGCGCTCACGCAGGCGCGCAACCCCCCCCCCCACGGGCGCTCCCGGGAGGCGGCTGTTAATCCCAGGGAGCTGGCAAGAGCTCGGCACGTGCTCCCGTGGCCCGGCCCCGATTCCTTCGCACCCGGCAGCACAGGCTGGGCAGGCCCTGGGTCCGACTAGGGATAGGAGCTCCACTGGCCAAGGCTGGAGAAAAGGGGTGCAGCTGCAGGGCCCAGCGCCCGCGGCGTCTCCGGGCACGGCCATGAGGAGGCCCTCCCCGAAGCTCTTCAGGACTTTTGGTGCAGGCTGCGTTGACAAGGCTCACGCTCAGGGGAGGACGGCGCTGGCTGAATTTCTGCCCATCATGCAGCCCTAGCAGGAAGCAGGGACAACTCCATCCCCAGAGTCCAGTGGTGAGAGGGTGACCTGGTCCGGCCCACCTAGCGAACTCCGCACCAGGTCCTCCGCTGGCCCCATCAGCTAACGGGAGTAAACCTCCAGCAAACACAGGGCTTCACGACACTAAAACGGGAGCAGTGGCCACAACTGAGGAGCAGGTACTCCAGATCCAAAAGGATCTGGACAGACTATGGAAGTGGGCAGGAGACAAGAGGACGGCGTTCAATGTGGAGAAGTGCAAGGTCTTGCACTTGGGGCATAGGAATAGCTGTCATAAGTACAGGTTAGGGGATAAGTGGCTGGAGAGCAGCGCTTGTGAAAGGGAACTCGGGGTGCTGGTCGACTGCAGGCTGAACGTGAGCCAGCCGTGTGATGCAGTGGCCAAGAGGGCGAATGCCACCCTTGGGTGCAGAGCCAGAAGTGTGGCTTCTAGATCGAGAGAGGTGCTACTGCCACTCTATACGACTCTGGTGCTCCCGCAACTGGAGTACTGTGCTCAGTTCTGGGCCCCTCATTACAGGAAGGATATAGCCAGGTTGGAGTCAGTGCAGCGCAGGGCCACAAGGTTGGTGGCCGGTTTGCAGGGGAAGCCGCATGAGGCGAGACTGAGGGAACTGGGTCTCTTCAGCCTGGAGAAGAAGAGACTCAGAGGGGATATGTTGGCGACATACAGGTATGTGAGGGGGTGCCACATGGAGGTGGGCAGAGACCTGCTCTCCCCTGCAGAGGAAGGCAGGACAGACTCCAGTGGAGCAAAGCTCAGGGAGCCAAGGTTCAATTTGGATGCCAGGAAGCACTTCCTGACAGTTGGGACCGCGAGGGTGTGGAATGGGCTTCCCCAGGAGGTGGTTGAGGCCCCATCGGTGACGGTGTTCAAGGACAGGCTGGACATGCACATGGTGGGCATGTCGTGAGCGGAGCTGGCTGGTGCCGGAGGTCAGACTAGATGGCCCGCGAGGCCCCTTCTGACTCGCTCTGTTTCTATGTTTCTCCAGGGTAGCGCCTCACCCCTGGGACTGCGGTGAAATTCTGAGACCTGATCGACCCGATCAGAGGGGACGAATGTGGGCCGCCGCCCCACGAGGCCTCCACCAGCAGGGCAGCACTTCCAACACGGAAGTCATGAGCTCATCGCAGTCAAAGTAACGTCTTCCAGGGCTTAACACGTCCATTCCGCCAGCGGGCTTTGTGGACTCAGCGCCAGGATGTCTCATGCTGCCAGCCACAACCGTCCAGTGAATGACCGCCGGCGCCCACGCCAGACTCCCCTGCCTTTTGCTTCCTTCCAGCCTCACTGCCCTCGCCACATCCACACCGACTGCGGAAAAGCCCGATTCTCCATAATACTCCTCGCATCAGATCGTGCGCTACGAATCCATGAACGTTTACACCCCGATAAATGTGTCGGTGCAGAACTGCTGCCACCAACCCTTAAAAATATTTGTTCCAAAGCCAAGCCAAGCCCTCCAAACTTCTGGGCATTGGTCTTCCCAAGATACGAAGCCAGAGCGGGGTCAGAACTGCTTCTAGGAATGGGCTCCGTATTCCAAGACCATGTCCTTCAGTTCTGTGGAAAGACTTCCAAGCCACGATCCCTTTCCATGCCCATGTCAACTCCTCCCCTTCCCCACTGACCCAGTGGAGGTCAGATGAAAGGAGAAAGGCACTCCGAGGACTTGAACACCCAGGCACAATTCTCAGATTGCAAAGCTGAGACGCTGCTGGAAAAGCTCTCAATCAATCAATCAATCTCATGTCTATACCACCGAGTAGCCAGGGCTCCCTGGCAGTTAACAAATGTTAAAAAAATTAAAAATTAAAAACACATACACAAACCCACAGCATTTGCAATTGAATCAGGGTAGAAACATAGCAGGGATACAGGATACAATGCAGGAATGAAAAGTGAAGTAAAAAAGCTGGGAGAATAAAATGGCCTTTGGCTGGCACTGGAGAGAATAGGCAGCAGGCACCTGGGGTACCTCGATGGGGAGCTCGTTCCACAGCAGGGGCGCCACAACCAAAAAGCCCCTCCTCCTGATAGCCCCCCCCCCACTTCCTTTGGAAGGGGCTCCCTTCTTTCCCTCTGTATTCACCCTCCACCTTTCAGGGCTGCCCTTTCCAAGATGATCTGCAGTCCCATAAAAGGAACCACCCTCATTTCTGCATCATCGCAATCTACAGGGCCGTCATCTGGAATATTACACCAAAAGTTACAATGCCACCAACTGCGTGAAACAGAGAACAGGTCAGACCTGGCAGCGCATGAGACTCCCAGCTGTTCAAAGTGCAGGATCCAGGGTTCTTTTGCCCCTTCGCCTGCAGACATGGTACAGTCCACGCAAACGTCCTCCCTCCTGATCCCCCTGCAGTACCAGCTTGGCCCTCTTGCCCGTGTGGCACAGAGCAAAACCTTCTGCTCCAAGCCCTTTGCTATCTTTGCTTGTAAGAAACAGAGGAAACACAATTCTCTCCACACCCATCATCCTGAACAGAATCATTCCTTTGCATCGGCCAGCAAAGCAGTACCAGGCTGCCCCGACGGCATCCACAAGTCATGAAGCAGACTCGGAATCCTTACGCCTTTTCTACCCTTTGCAGAAGGCTCAAGCAAGTGAGCCAAACCTCACATGGCAGGGGAAGACACTGAGTATCAGAATAAAATCAGCAGTGTTTGGCCATCCGGCAGCAGCCTTGCCATCTGGCAAGAGGGCGGGGGGGGGGGGGGGGGGGGGGGGGGGGGGGGCGAGCAGGGCTACTTCACTGCCCAGGAGAACCAAACAGCATTTCTGTCCCTCTTTTTGAGGGGTGTGCAAGCCACCCTGGAAACCTTTTCAGTCGAAAAACAAGCTAAACATGCTTCAGAAAGAATCACATGCATTCTTGCAGCAGCCCAAATCGGGGGACGAATTTAATCCTAACCAGCCCATGGGATCACTGAATGTGGGCATCAAATGCACAGATGCAGACCCAGCATTTACTCCCAAGGAAGCGGCACTGAAGAGGCATTTTTAGCAATCTGATGCTAACGCCCCCTGGCAGGGGACCCTCGGCAGCATCCTCTCTGCTCCCGGACCTGCTCGTGGCTTGGGCAGCAGTGCCACCTGCTGCAGGTGCCCAGAAGGTGATGCTCCAGTGTCCACCTCAGCAGGGACGAAGGGACAGTGGCCAGGCTGTGAGCAGGGCTTCCCCACCCCCTTGCCCTGGAGGTCATGCTCCTTGGGAGGGTCCATTCACGGCCCATGTGAGGAGGAGACAACAGGTGAGCTGAGCGACAGGTGGGGCTCAGAATGCGGAAGCCAGGCCTCGATTCCAGCAAGGCGTGGACCATCAGGAGGCACTTGCAGTCCAGGTGACCCAAGGTCATCCGCGCATAAATGCTTCCTAGAAGTGATGATCACAAGCCCCGCCCCATCCTTGAAACCATGGCTGAGAGGCTGGACTACAGCCCCCATCATCTCTCCAGGAGAAAAAGGGGTCACAGGACAAGATGCCCCCCCCAGAAGTCTCCAGTTTACCGGAGATTAGCCAACGGTCTGTGCACACCGTGCCACGGGACAGTGGGACCTACTCCTGGGTAAATCCGCACAGGATCAGGAAGGCAGCAGGGGGGCACAACCGTGGTCAGGCAAGCGCGCGTTTACCTACCTGAGGCTGCGTGACCTGGGCCACCTTCTCCGCTTCCTTCTCCCCGGGGGCCTGAGGAGGGGTGGGCATCCCCGCTTTCGCCCGCAAGGGCCTCGTCCTGGGCCGGCGATCACGGGGGAGCCCTCCACGAGCCCAGCCGCGTCAGACGACTCTGCCCCCCCGGAGCATGGAGAGCCGCTCGGGGCCACACGACGGGGCGGTCCACGGGGCGAGCCACACGGAGCCTGCAAGAGGGCGGACACGGGAGGCATCGGTGAGCCCAGAATTCTGCTCGTGGCGCATGGTGGGGATCCATACAGAAGAGGGCGGAGGCTCTGGAAACATGGGCCGCAGAGGACAAAACACCCTGGACCCAGGGCCCGGCTCCCTGGCGCACACCCTGACATTAAAGCTTCTATCAGGTCCCTATCCCCTGGGGATGATGGGACTTGCAGTCCAACCCCTCTGTTCAGGACACGAGGGACTGCTGTACACCCACCCAAGATTTTTTTTGGCCCCCTGGTAACCAGGACAGGGCATAACTGCTCGCTGGCCGGTTTTACGTGCCCCGGAGCAATCGCTGACCTGGTGACCCACGGAGGAAGCCCTCCAAAGCGCCCCCCGCTCAGCTCTTGCCAGCTCGGGGCTGCGGCTTCCTTCATAATCCGTCCATCTTCTCGTCCTTTCTTCTCCTGCCTTTGACATTGCCCGGCCTTGATCGTCTTCTCTAGGCCTCCCAGGCTGCGTCCGAAGTGGGGCAGCCTCGATTTAGCCATTCTGGCCTCCAGGTTTGACCCAGGACCACTCATCTGCCTCGCCACTGATCCAGGGGATACGCAAAGCTGCCAGCAGCTCCGTGTCTCACAGGCATCCGTTTTCTTCCCTGCCCAGCATTTGTTCCCACGCATTGCAAGAGAACGGAAATGCAGAGCTTTCTATTCCCCCAATAGTTTAATTGCTAATTGGTTTTAATTGGTGGTTTTATACTCAACATCTGATGCTGTGCCACTCCTACTCCTATTTCTGTTTTATTAATGTGTTGAAAACTGTCCCAAGACATCTGTGATGGGACAGTATAGAAAAGTTTTAAAGAAAGAAAGAAAGAAAGAAAGAAAGAAAGAAAGAAAGAAAGAAAGAAAGACAGACCGACCGACCTTGGGCCGGCGAGGGCAGCAGGGTGGGGAAGGCTGGTGTGAAACCTCGGAGTCCACATCTGGCCCTTGGTGGGTTCCTTTCCCTGGTCCCACCTGATAATGAAATAATGGCACATGGCTTCTGGGAGCGTCCCTATGGAATATGGCCTGTCCTCTGAAAGAAATCCAACAACCTGCTTTAACTAGAGCATTCTGTGCCCCACCCTTCTGTCCATTTAATGCACATTTAATGGGGATGCTGACCCCAGCGAGCCACTTGGGGGCCATATTCTGAATTCATTAACTTGGAGAAAGCCCTGTGCATCCTGGTTAGAGGATGCATGTCCCCTTCCACCATCCAGCTAAAAGGGAGAGCACAGCCATGCAAACAAGTTACTAGTCCTCAGTATATTCTTTCAGCCCACAGGAAAATTCATGTCCGGTTTCCCCACCAGGTCTGTTCATTCCAGCCATATAATTAAGGCCGGAAGGGGGGTGTTTCATCACTGCTGTCGTTAAGCGACTGAGAGTCAGGTATCCTCGCTGGCCGACTGCGAAGCTGCGAAAGGACATCCTGGCCTTCCTTCTGTCCACCGCGGAGCCAGGGCCTGTGCTCCCAAACTCAGCCCACGAGTTTCTCTGTGAATCCCCCTGCTTGCCCCTGCATGCCTAGGAAGATGGCCACTTACACGCCTCAAAAAGAAAAGTTATTTTTAATTGGAATTAAATGTTGGAATGTGTTAGATGTTTACTCTCAGGTTAAACTCTTTACTGCGTAGTGTGCATCATATATCGGACTGTGTTGGTACACAGTGTTGTGGTTTGTGTGCATGTTGGTGTTTGTTTATCACTGCTTAATTGTTTGCTGCATGTATTGTTTTGTTGCCTCTGCCTGTTTTGTTCTCATGTCCTCTGTAAATCCGCTCAGAGAGTCCTGCTGGACTACTGGCTAAATTCAATTCTAAATGAATAAAAATAAAATGCCTACCCTTCTGTTTTCCCTCTGCTTCAGCTGCCTGGCTAACTGCTAAGCATGTAGGCTCCCTGCAGGCAGAGACCTGTCTGGTGTCATTCCTGAGATGCTGCAGAGCACCGAATGCGTTGAGAGCGCTATGCAAGGAGTAAACACTCACACAACTGCACTGCAGACGCCTCCTGCCGGGAAAGGGGGCCCGTCGGCCTCCCCAGGGCTGCCTTTGAGTCCGGCTGCCTCCCCTGCAACACCCCACCCCGGTCGGCTTGGCACAGCCCTGCAACGGTGGCCGGGTTGCGGCCAGGGGGGACTCCGCGTCCCAGCACCTGTGCCCTTGGGAGTGGAGAAGGCGGAGGAGGGTTCCCACGGCCGGCTGACCCCCTCGCCCTCTTGGCCAGGCGACCAGCCCTGCCCCCTGGGAACATTTCGGGACGGTCTGTCCTGCGAGCGGGGGCGGCACGGCATGGGAAGCGTCCGTCCCAAACACCTCTCCAGCTTGAGCAGCCACGTTCGCCAGATACACCCCCCCCTGCTCCCTCCTCTTCCAGCTTTGGATGCAGGAGGCTCCCAAAAAGGGTGCTGGGGGGGGGGTGGATGGTTCTCTGGCCAGACAAGGTCTCAGCCCTGGAAAGAGAGGGGAAATCCAGCAGCATTGTGCACAGCCTGGATCGCTGCCACCCTGGCCAGCCTTCCCCAACCCGGCGCGCTCCAGGTGCCCTGGACTGCAATTCCCATCGCTGGCCCTGCTGGCTGGAAATGATGGGAATAGCAGTCCAACACATCCGGACCAGGTTAGGAAGGGCTGCTGTTGAGCTCGACAGAAGAAAAAGCCGAGGGTGGGCAGCCCGCGTCCTCCAGGTGTTTTGCACTACAACTCCCATGGGCCCCGGCAAACATGGTCCAAGGTCAGGGACTGTGGGTACTGGGTGGTCCCCCTCACCCTGAATACATCAAGCCCAAGAGGTATCTTCCAGAGCAGGGCTGGGAGAGACCCCCTTGCGGGAACCCTGCCCCCCCTGCCCCGTGCGAGGGGTGTTACCACCCTGGGGCAGGACCAGCCCGCAGGCGTACGGCTCCCCAAGGCCGCGGGGTCAGTTCCCGGCACACGCAGGAGGAAGGATCTGCTCCAGCAGCGCAGCAGGGCGGACCTCAAACACACAGGGAGCCGCTGCAGCTCTGACTTTTCCAATCTGCCCCACAGCAAGCAGCCTCCTTTGCCGGATCTCTGGGCAACATTCAGGGGACGCAGCCTAGAGGTCCAAAGGCTTAAGACCACAAATCTCATCACCCCCACCACCCACAGCCAGGGCTCAGCTTCGTTAATACCTAAACTGCAGCACCCGCGTACTTCCAGGGCCAGTCTGAATTCCCTCGGGCCCCGGGCCTCTGCCTTGGCAGGCTACCTGCTCACTTTCCCAGCCCTGCCTCCTCATTCCGCCCGTCGCCACAACCTCCGCACGTCACAGCCGGCCGGAATTTCAGAGAGCGGAGTTGGAAGGGACCCAGGAGGCCATCCAGACTGACCCCCTGCTCCATGCAGGACTGCAGCTGCCCAGCAGCCTCTTGAAAGGCTCTCCCCAGGGTGGGAGGGCCCAAGCCCTCCCTCCAACATTGAATCCTTTGCCAGAGTGCTCTAGCAGCTGAGAGGTTTTTCCTGATGTCCAGCCAGAATCTGGCTTCCCGTTATTAAGCCCGTTATTCCGTGTCCTGCATTCAGACAGGCTTGAGAAGACATCCTGGCCCTCCGTGGAACACCCTTTCAAGTGTTTGACAAGCACTATTATAGCTCTCCTCAATCTTCTCTACTCAAGGCTCAGCATGCCCAGTTCTCTCACTCTCTTCTCAAAGACAGCTTCTGTAAGCCATCCTGAGGCTTCTTGCAGAGGATGGCAGAGAAATATTTGAATTAAAATTAAATTAAAGGGCTTGCTGCCAGTCCCCTGACCATCTTTCTTGCCCCCCTCTTCCATTTTCCAATTTGTCTGCATCTTTCTGCAACTGTGGTGCCCAGTACTGCAGATAAGGCCTAGTAAAGGGGAACTAGGATTTCACATGACTGGGAAGAGATACTTCTATTGATGCAGCCCAAAACAGTATCTGCCCTTTTTGCAACTTCATCACGTTGTGGGCTCCTATTCAGCTTGTAATGCACAACTATTCCAAGATCCTTCTCCCTTGCATTACTGTTAAGCCAAGTATTCCCCGTCTTGTAAAGATGCGTTTGGATTCTTGTTCCTAGTGCAGAATTTGGCATGTGTCCCTGCTGAATTTCCTTCCGTCTCTTTCAGCCCAGCACCTCCAGCCTGTCAAGATCACTTGAATTTTGCTTCTATCTTCTAGAGTATTAGCTAGCCACTCCGTTCTGTGTCATTTGCAAATTTGATCGACACTTTCTGCACCTCTTCAGGCTTTAACAACACTGTAAGGTAAGGTAAGTGGTGCAGGCAGGCAGAAATCCAGCAGGTAGAGGCAGCAGGAACGATATATCCACACCAGTAAAGGCATCTTCCAGCTGAGATCTGGCCCAGAAGAAAAGGGGCCACAATCTACCCCTCTTCATCCCATCTCAGCCGCCTGCAAACACGCTGATCACCAGGGAGGGATTAGCCCTATCAGCCCAGCAATGAATCCAATTATCTCCCTGGGTAATAAACAAGCCATTTCCTCCCTTGCTGATTGTTTCTTTCTGAAGGCATCCCAGACAGGCAAGGAGCCAGAAGTCCAGCCTGGGGCAGCTCAGGGCAGGCTAGAAGAGCCTCTGGGAGCCCTGCTCGAAATTTCAGTGACAGGGGGAAGAGAAGTTGCCTCAGCACACAAGGCACAACATCACTGGAACTCAGTCTTAGAAAAACCCAGCCAGCCCAGCCCTCTCCAAGCTGGTGCTCTCCAGATATGTTAGATTATTTGTTTATTCTTCTATGTCTTGGGATGGTTTACAACAACATTGATAGAATGAAATAAAAAAAGAGTAAAAATATCACAGCATCCAGTATGTGGTGCGGTATAAAACCACAAATTAAAACAATTTAACAATTCAAATATTGGGAGAATAAAAAGGTTTTCACCTGGCGCCGAAAGGAAAGAAGTCTTGGCGCCAGGCAAACCTCTGGGGAGCGTGTTCCACAATCGGGGCGCCACCACAGAGAAGGCCCTCCTCCAGGTAGTCACCCTCCTGATCTCTTTCAAGGATGGCTCCCGGAGGAGGGCCCCTGACTCGGATCTCAAGGGGCGGGGGGGGGACACCTAGGGGAGAAGGTGCTCCTTTGTGAATCCCCTGGACTGAAAGAAAGACGAACAAGCGGGCTTTCGATCAAATGAAGCCAGAGCTTTCACTGGAAGCCACAAGCTGCTGCATCACAGACACATCATGGGAAGGGCAGACTCCCTGGAGAAGACAACCATGGCAGAGAAGGTGAAGGCGGAAGGAGAGCAAGACCAAGGATGAGGTGAAGCAATTCCAGACAGGGAGCCCGTGAGGCGTTAAGAGCGCGGGGCTGGGACCCCGGTGATCCGGGTTCGAGTCCCCGCTCGGCCATGGAGCCAACTGGGTGACTTTGGGCCAGCCACAGACTCTCAGCCCAGCCTACCTCACAGGGTTGTTGTTGAGAGGATAAGATGGAGAACAGCAGGAGGAGAATAGTGTAAGCTGCTTTGAGTTTGTAAGGGGGAAAACAGCTGGATATAATCAAAGGAAGAGCAGAAGGCAGGCTGGCCGCCGGCCACAGCCTGGAGTTGACAAGATCTGAGCAAGGCTGTCAAGGCCAAGACACTGTGGAGGGAGAAGGGGGAAGAGCGCCCCCTTTCAACTCCTCAAAACCCTCTGCAGAGCCCCGAACGCAGCAGGGTGTTCTAAGTGGGGTCACCCTGCCAGTTCATAAAAGGGCACAATTATAATGTTTGTTTGTATTTGTTTTATTTATATCCCACCTTTGTCCAGCAAGGAGCCCCAGGAACTTTGGATAATCCTCCTGCTCTCCATTGCATCCGAACAACAACCCTGTGAGGTAGGTTAGGGTGAGTGTCAGTAACCCGCCCAAAGTCACCCAGTGAGGGTCGTGGCTCAGTGAGGACTAGAAACTAGATCCCCCGAGTCCCCATGCAACACTCTAATCATTAGGCAACGTGCACTCTCAGCCATTAACAGACTTCTCACCAGTTCCTTGCCCAGTGATTTCCACAACAGGGAACGCGCGTTCTTCCCAGCCCCCACTGTGTCGGGTCAACATTTTCGCTGAACGATTCACCACCACCAGGATGCCTCTCGCGGCCGGTCACTGCCAGCTCAGAGCCCACCCGTGCACAGGCAAGCCGGGATTTTTTGCCACGACATCACCGCTCGCCCTCGCTTCCACAGCCGTGCTCACGTCTGTTCCCCCAGTCTGGGGAGAGCCTTTTGGAGCACCCATTATAATGTGGGGTCATCATCACACCTGGCCACATTAAAAGTTAAAAAGCATCACTCTTGAATGCTTGTATCTCTGCACCACGCACCAGGTGATGGGTTCTAATCCTCCCTTCTCTCTTTCCAACAAGGACATGAGCCAGCCCAAGCGGCCAGCAGATGAATAAATCCGCGAGCCAAAAACAGAAGCTTAATCCGCTCCTGAGTCCCATGGTAAGACGAAGGGATTGCTCTTGCGGCTCAGAAACCCCACCAAGCCATGTAAAAAAGGAGCCCAGTGGCTCAAAAGGACAACGGCAGGCTCCTGCTTCCCCCGCCAGGACGGCTGTTACGGAAACTCTCCCTTCGCCATGAGCAAGGACCATGCAAATATAATTCAACGGATGCCCGTTGAATTATAAGCAAACGTGAGTCTAACTGCATTTTCTTCCAGTTGGGCTTCTTTTGCCTACGGTTTTCTTGACTTCTCTTGCAATGTTTGGGCCAAGCTAGATGGAAAAACAAGGGCGGCTGACCCACCCTGTCTATTTTGGCCCTGTGGTTTGGCTCCCTCCAGTCCTCCTGGTGATTAGTTACCCCTTCCCAGAAATCTTCCTTTGATATAGAGCAGGGAGCTGGGGCCAGGAGCAGGGACGGCAGCCTGGGTCTGCTCAGGGGATGCTCCCAGGGCACAGGCAAGGGATCTCTGAAGTGCATGCTCTTTTTTAACTGCCCAAAGATAGCCGCGTTCCTCAGCACTGCAACCATGCCTTCTGTTTTTAAGCTGCATGGAACAACGAGGACCAACAACTCCGGTTTTAATTTCTGCTTTTAAATCAAAGCCTACCCCAAAACCCAGGTTGGCAGTAGCGAGCCAACCCTTTTCCCATCCTGAGACGCTTACGTGGGCCTCCTCAGCTCTGACTATACTCAGAGAGGATCAGCCACCACCGGATTGGTGCTTTGCAACTCTGCTTGCGCTCCTCTTCTTAGGATTTTCTGCCTGGAGGAGAGGAGATCCGATACACGCGGACACGCGCGCCCCTCATCTCTCTAATGAATCCCGAACGAGGAATGTTTTACTGACGCTTGGAACTTTTTCACATTCCGGCGGGATTGCCCCATGGGCCTTTTCCAGTTATTAAGAGCCTGAGCCTGGCGGTGAGCATTTCCTCCAACACAACTGCTCAGGACACCGGTTGGCTTCCTTCCCAAGCAGAGTCTGGAATGGACTCCATCAAGCCGCTCTCACCAACATCCTCCAAACGAGGACAGAGAAAACTATTGCAAATTGCCCAAGCTCCGCTAACCGGGGCAAAGACGACACGAAACGCGACAGAAGAGGGGCGGCAGCCGCCACGATTCCTACCTGCTAATGCCGCGTTTCCTTCTTGCCTCCGCCACGGCGCTCCCGCGCCTCTCCGGCAGAGGAGGGATAAACTCCAGCCTTGCGGTGCGTTTTGTCTGTCTGGCCGACTGTCGATCTTCTGCGCCAGGAGGGCCAAGCGCAGGCGGCAGCACGGGCAGGCGGCCTCTCGCTGCATGCGGCAGCGTCGGCTGCTGCGCACGGCTGGGCACGGTGCGCGCTCTCGCGGCAACGTGCCGTCAAGACAGCTGCTGGGGGAAAGTTGCCGTTTTAATTCCAGCGAAGCAGGCAGCAGCGAGGAGCAAGCATGGCTGTGCCTTGCAGCGTAGCAGCATGCATGCAACTGTGGTCCAGAGCAACAGGTACGTGGCCAAGTTCACTGTTCCCGATTATGCACGGCACAACTCTCAGGCGAGGAACACGCCGCAGCTGCTGCAGTAATCCGCCGGGCCAGGCGGGGATACTTGGCCTTAGACAATGCTGAGGTTTGCGGTCAGCTGGCAGACCTCCCTGCGTGCAGACGCCGGACGGGCAGGGTCACTTCTGTGGTGCACACGGCTGCAGTGGCCACGGTCCCTGGCCAGGGAAAAAAGCTGCTGCAGCAAAACAGAGCAAACCGGGAAGAAATACGCAAGACGAGACGGCATTGAGCCACAGGGTCTTCGTACCGCGTGCAACTCCTTGGGGCTGGGCGGCTTTGCACGGAGGGAAGCGGTCACTGCAGCCCGGAGAGGAGGTGGAAGCGCGCACGGCCAGGGGTGCTGCAGTTTGCCACACGGAGCAGGCAACTTCTAGGGCTTTGCGTGGAAGCGCTGCATGCTGGCACGGAAGAACAGGGCTTGGCAAGGTGGAAGGGTGAAGTTCGCAGGATGCAGAAAGGGCGCCACGACACGGTTACATCGCTACAAAGGAAACGGGTGTGAACAGGCGCCCCCACGCAGCGCTGGGGGAGCAGGCCAGGTTGCACGGGTACGATGCACGAGGGAGAGAGACGCTTCCCGCTGCAGGAAGGGCTTCAGCGCTCCCAGACGACCAAGACGGCGCAGCCACGGCCAACGTGCCCGGGTGTCCGCGGACGCAGGCGCTCCAAGGCTGGTCGCGGGGGCGGCTGAGAGGCGCCGGCGCGGCACCCCGGCGAGCAACGGATCTTGCCAAGGGAGCTGCCATTCCAGGCCGTCGGGGGGGAAGCGGCACCTGCCCAGAGCCCGCCAAACCCTCGGTGCAGGCCAGGGCGGCTGCCGGGCTTCCTGCTCCAGCCCCTGCACGCAAGCCTCACATGCTGCTCATGGGGGAGGGAGCCCCCCCCCCGGGCTGCCACTCCGCGCTTGCTCACCCCTGATGCGGCTGCTGCCGGCCCGAGTTGCCCACCCCTTCCTGCACCGCGTGGCCCAAACCCTCGTACATTAGCTGCCCCTCCTGCACGCCCCGGCTCAGCCCCCCCTGCTCCTGCACCCCCCGGACCCCGCCGCCTTCCTGCAAGGCTGAATGCTGCGAGGCCTGCCAGGGCCCCCAGCTGGGCTGGAGCGGGGCCACCCTGCTCGCCTCGCTCTCCGACTGGGGCTGATGCTGGGCCCACAGCCCCACCTCCTCCTCCGGCCGCCCGGCCCACCCCTCCTGCTCCTGCTGCCCCCCCAGGCTCAGGCCTTGCTCCTGCCAGCCCCCGTGCCGCAGCCCCAGCTCCTCCAGCAAGCCGCGGCCCGCCCGCCCCCCGAAGGGCTGCTCCGCCCCTCCCCAGCGCGCGCGGGGGCCCTCCGGCAGGCAGGGGGGGTGCTCCTCCGGGACCCCGCAGCGGTGCGCCTCCTGCCGGCCGGCCTCCTCCTGCACGCCCGCGCCCCTCGCCGGCGGCCGCTCACCCGCCCACTGCACCTGCCCCGCCGGCGCCCGGGGGGCCCTCGCCCGCCGCCCGCCCGCTCCCCACTGCGGCAGCCGCCCCTCCCGCGCGGGCTCCGGCTCTGGCTCCGGCTGCGCCGCTTCCGGGAGCCCGGCCCCGCTGCCTGCGTCCGGGCAGCCGTCCGGGGCTGCTCCCGCGGGCCGCGGCCGGCTCTGCTCCTGCAGCCCGCCGCTCAGGGCCTCCTCCTGCACCCCGGCGCCGCAGCCCCGCTCCTGGACGGCGACGGCCAAGCCCCCCGCCTCCTCGACCT